TTTTTTTTTTTTTTTGAGACAGAGTCTTACTGTGTTGCCCTCAGTAGAGTACCATGGTATCACAGCTCAAAGCAACCTCAAATTCTTGGGCTCAAGTGATTCACTTGCCTCAGCCTCCCAAGTAGCTAGGCCTACAGGTGCCTCCCACAATGCCCAGCTATTTTTAGAGATGGAATTTTGCTCTTGCTCAGGCTATTCTTAAACTCCTGAGCTCAGGCAATCCACCCAGCTCAGCCTCCCAGAATGCTAGGATTACAGGTGTAAGCCACCACTCCTGGTCTAAGAGCCCATGTATTAAGGTTCTTTCCCTTTAACTTTCTCTCAAACTTTTACATATAAGTGAAGGCAAATGCAGGAGGATGCTGGAGAACTGACAGGTCTGTGGAGGAACAGGTAAGGGTTGATGGAGGAAAAAGAAGATCTTCTGTATGCTAATAGGCATTTGACGTAATGAGAAGGAAAAGCACAAAGGGATGAAACACCTTGGAAGTAAAGCAACAGAGCAGTGAGGTTGGGGAGAGAGGAAGAAATGGTTGGCGAAAGTGTATCTAGACAAGTAAGAAAGGGATGCTACAAGTTGCGAATTGCCATGTCCTGGAAAGAATATTTGACATTGGAATTAGATTAGTTGGTTTCTGTTCTAATTCTGCTTGAATAAGGGTGTGTTATTAGCTAATTCTCTTTAGTTTCCTGATCCTTAAGTTGGCATACATGATATAGTAAACATCAACCATAATAATGTTTGCCTAAGTGTTTTGTGAGCTATTTAACAGTGTAAATGTGACAGTAATAATTTCTCTCATGGTATGGATACCAGTTTCCTTCCTGAATCATCTCCACAGTTTAAACCTAACGCTAAGCATTCTTTGATCCTGTTAATTATTCTTCAATTTGTAAATTTGGAATCACTCATTCAGAAAACACTCAAGGGATGCTCATAGAGCTCACAACGCAAAGGCAGCAGGTCAAACAAATGATTCCAAGCTGCATGAGAGTAGTGTAGATAGAGCGTGGAAGAAGGAGCCATTATTTTCTCCTATAGGAAATAGCATTTGGAATCAGTTCCAGAAAGATATATTTCTACTGAATAGTGTATTACCTAAATGAAGTACTAAGTTATTTTCTTTGTTGTTTGTCATTCTGCAAACCTGAAGCTCCTCAGGGCTGGAACTTGGTCCCTTTTATCAGAATGAGTCCCTTGGTCCAGGTGTGGTGGCTCATGCCTGTAATCCAGCATTCTGGGAGCCCAAGGTGGGTGGATTGCCTGTGCTCACAGGTTCAAGACCAGCCTGAGCAAGAGCAAGACCTTGCCTCTAAAAATAGCGGGGCATTGTGGTGGTAGTCTCAGCTACTCAGGGCAGGGCTGGGCGGCTGAGGCAAGAGTATTGCTTGAGCCCAAGAGTATGAAGTTGCTGTGAGCTATGATGCCCTAGTACTCTACTCAGGGCAACAAAATGAGATTCTGGTTCAAAATCATAATAATAATAATGAGTCCCTTAAGAGGCAAGAGACCCTATCCCTTGTCATTTGGGACAATCCCTATTATACACTGTCTGTGTTTCTATAAGTGTCCCTTGGTCAGAGCATCTTCCTGCATCTCTCACTTTACCATAACAGAGGGAAAATTGAGTTTGGAAACTCAGTCAGATGAATGATGTAGGAATAAGATATAATAAACTTTATAAAACAATGAAAGTTTTAATGAGCTTGTAAGTGCTTTATAGACGTTTGGATTAGAGCTCACCAACCCTAAATGTGATCTCAGGCATATAATCAAATATTTTTGTACCACAACATCCTCTTCTTTAAAATGGTTATAGTTTTAGTACCTATCTCACAGCGTTGTTGGAAGGCTTAAGTGAATTTATTCATGTAAAATGAATGCTTAAAAGAAAGTCTAAAGCATTACAAAAAAACAATGATAGCAATTATTGTTACTGTTCTTATTAACTCTTAAAAATAATGATGCTGTCAGACAGCGTGCTAAAGAGACCAGGAGAGGAAGGCAGCAGTTGCAGGACACTCTGTACATTTTCCTATTACCTGTGTTTGGGTTCCTGTGGAAGACTTTCTTGTCAATAGGGTTTGGAAGACACTCAACTTCTGGCATTTACTCTGTTCCATTCTGAAGGCCATCCAAGGGTGTTTGACTAAAAGTGATAAGAAATCAGTGGTTTGGTTGGTAAATGTTTCCAAACTCTGGAGATTTTCATTAGAAACAGGATTGTGGGCTCGGCACCTATAGCTCAACCGGCTAAGGCGCCAGCCACGTACACCTAAGGTGGCGGGTTCAAATCCCCAGCCCAGACCCGCCGAACAACAATGACGGCTGCAACCAAAAAATAGCCGGGCGTTGTGGTGGGCGCCTGTGGTCCCAGCTACTTGGGAGGCTGAGGCAG